CAAAACCCCCCCCCCCCCAAAAAATGTTGATCTTTTATATTGATAATAGAAGTGTACAAATATTTTTGGTTTTGAAACTCTGGCAGATCAGATAAGACTGTGGCAGGCTGTGAGAGTGAATCACTGTCAGAACTAGAGTAATTTAGTAAGCAGCAGTGTAAGCATATTTTTGGTGCCATTTATTTAATTCATGCATGGAAATGTTACCTTATGGCATTAACATGTGTTATGAATCGCGTTTCAGACACTTTATGCATCAAACGGTAATCATTTCCAACAAAGGGAAAAACATGCCTTGCGTCAAGATTTAATGCAGTTTTGAGCCATTTTGTTTGGACGCTTAGTGCCCTACAAGTTATCACGTTCTTGCATTTCTCGCCACTATGGTTAGGTTGTCCTGTTCATTACTATCTGTCATCCCCAGAACTGATGTATACTTGCACTAGTCATTAACGTTTCAGCGTGTACATGGAGCCCTCCATCCTTCATTGTCCACTGATACGTCCTGCAATAATGAGCCATGACTTGAAGGCTTTTCTGCTGCGCTGCGTTGACAGAAAACGAGGAACCTTTCTGCAAAGTGTCCCCTTCATGCTAGATTCAGCATGATCTCAGTAGCTTAGACTGCTGCTGTGCAAGGATATTCTCTGTGCACATTGCAGTATGATGTCGCTGATCTTGGGCTTTTTTCGTTTGTATCATGAAGTGCATGCATTGAAAAGCTTGTGTATGCATGTGTTTGCCTTGTGCCCAATTTTTGGCACCATTTCCCTGCCAATATAATATGCTGTGCCATGTATTATGGTATTGTGGGAGAGCATATTCATGTTGTTTTTGGTTTGTTTTGAAAGTACTTGGACGAAGGTTTTCAGGTCTTTCCTCTTGTTTTCATACGGAGTTCATCTACAGAGGTCATATTCAAAGAGGAGCTGCTCAGTGGTTCAGTATTGATTGTATTGAAATGAATCTGAAGACCTTACTGATAGGTTTAGATGATTGTATGTAATAATTTGAGTATGTAATTTGAAAAACGACTTATCGTTTGTAAACATCATGGTGTTTGTGTTCAGTTGTCTCTATTGCTTATCATTGTTCAGATAATGCTGTAGGCATGTTGCTGTATTAGTGTGCCAAGTATGCCAAGCAAAACATTGGCTCTGTTCCAAAACCTAGTGAGCTGCCTACTAAGTGAGCAATTCTACCTGAAATGAAACCTTATAAGGGACTTATTTGGAATGCACTACATAGACAGTAGCCCTGTGTCTTTTAAATTATTCAAATGCTCTAGACAAAAAGTGTATGGTGCATTAAAATGCTGCCTACATAGGCAACATACTAGATTTTGGTATGCAACCATTTTTACTATTTTATAGCTGGTTTATGACACACTTTTTGTCCAAGAGCTTGAAGGACTAAAGTTGGCCAACATCTGAGAGAAATCTTTTTTCCTCAGCCAATTTGGAGCCGTTTGCACGCTGCCTTCCAAGTGTGTTCTTTGTCCCTGGTGCACTCATACCCAAGGTTTCCTGGTGGAAATTGAATGCATTTGTTTTTATATCTGATTGTTTGGCCTAAAAATCTCTATTTTTATACCCAGTCATTGGTTTTAAGGGCTGTTATCTTGCGGCATGAAAAAATGAAATCATTCGTAATGAAGAGAAGATTTCCAGCGGAGCCTCACTTTTTAGTTTTTCAAAATACAAATGTATCAAAAATAAAAATAAGAAATAAAATAAATAAATACAAAAATTAGAGATGTAACGATTAACTGCGAGCCAGTTGAAAATCGATTCAAATATGTGACGATTCAAATCGGTTGAGATGCTAAACAAATTGCGATTCATTTAGGGGTAGGAGTTTATATGAATGCATGTCTGAGGGGAACTTACTGTGTTTAGATGGTATTTTTTCTTTTCATCTTGCCTCTGTATAACGCATATTAAAGTTCATAAGTGCAGCGCTGCTTTGTTTACAGCAGAAACCAGGAAACGCTTTAAGCGCCACCTGCTGGCAGAGAGAGAATCTGCGTCTCATTCAGCTCGTCTGCTGTTTCTGTTTCACGCAGATATTTTTATGTATAGTTAATACATAAACTGAAGTCAAAGTCGAAATTATACAATTTAATTTAGATTAAAAACTGCTCATGTTGCATGTATGCAGCATCTTTGTTTGGATCATGATTAAAATGCAGTGGCTGCCTCTTATTTTAAATGGAAAGAGCACAGACAAAGCCTTAGTTTGTTTATATGAAGAGATTAATTTTATTTGTTACTTATGTATTTGATTTTATTTACATTTATATTATATTTAAATTTTGTCATTTAGCAGACGCTTTTATCCAAAGCGACTAACAAATGAGGACAACAGAAGCAATCAAAACCAACAAAAGAGCAATAATATGCAAGTGCTATATTAGTATATTATTATAGTTATATTTCAATTTCACAAAGAAATGTGCAGCATTTTGTCCAAGCAATAATAAAAGGACACATTTAATTTATAATTTGTCTTAAATCTCATTTTGTAAAAAATAAAATCATGAATCGAATCATGAAATTAAAATCGTGAATCGTTACATCCCTGACAAAAATCTATTTCACATTACTTTAAAAAGGTAAACATTGCAACCTACAACTTAACTTTCAAGTTTCAGCCTAACTAAAGCTCAAGCATGACATAAGCCTTTACTGTCTTCTTGGAAGGCTTTGTGGCTTTTGTAAGAGGCAAAAATCACGGGAGAGGAAGGTAACTTGGAACAAGAGTCCATACACTTTCTAAACACATTTTTCTGCAACATGAAATTAGTTATTTGGAGAATAAACCCTCTTAAATGTCTCTACATACTGGTGTGTGTGTGAAACTTGTTTTTGATGTCCTTCATAATCTGTGTGCTGGTCAGTTCACAGCAGTGATAGAAATTAATCTTTTCCAATAGGTTTAAATAGATTTTTACATTTTATGGGCATTTTTACCTTTATAAAGCCATTTTTTTCTAAAAGTGTGCATCATCTTTTGAGTCCAATTCTTACATTTAATCAGTCAATTTGAATAATAAGACATTTGGGCTGTTACCAAACGAATGATATCAGTATCAACAAAATTCATCTTTGTAATGCAAAGGAAACCGAAGCTGCGTCTGAAGAGGCAGTTAAATGTAGGCCTATTTACAGTTACAGTAAACAGACTAATAAGACAAATAATTTGCCTCGATGATTTTTTGTAATCAAGTTACTCGGAATCGTTTCAGCCCTATACCAAATTTTATTTTATTTTATTAATCTTATTTATTAATCTTATTTTAAGTTTTATGTTTGTTGTATCCTTCTCTTCCATGACATGATTATTTATAGCGGATGTATTGGTTGAGATTTTTACTGGGCTTTGTATAAATATGCTCCGTTTTAAAGCCCATTTAGCTATTTTAAGGAATCATAAATCAATGTTGATTGAATTTTGGTTTACTTAGGGGGTCATTTGTTTGTGAAATGAAACTAGGCCTGCAGGTTTGTTGGAACATTCATTATTCTGATGGATTAAGTTTTTTTCAAATTGCATTTTCCAAATGCGTTATGCATATGTATTAAAGCATTAAACTAAAGCATTTAAACTAATAAGTGTAAAATGCCCAGAATGACCCACAAGGGCACTTGGTTTTTTCTGACCATGAGGCCTGATCTGTTGCTCAGTTTTCCTTCCGTCTCCTACAGATTTCCTCTATTCAAACCGTAATAGTAATCCTCTCTCCTGCCTAGGTTTTGGCCAGTTTCGGTTCAGAGGTGTTGGCCATTGCTCAAGCCAATATAAATGATGACTCTCTACATTCAGCTGTGCCTTTGATAATGTGGCATGAACATTATTATTTTAGATATTGAATAATTGTATTTACTGTGGGTATTGAGTCTGTTTTATAATCCCAGTGCATCACATGCCTTTGATGTTTCTTACAGACTCCGTGAAGTGTCGGAAAAGCTCAACAAATACAACTGTAACAGGTATGTTTTACCAAGCATTTACATTTTAAGCCCGGTGGTTTTAGAGTTCTTTCCACATCAATGAAGTATTGAGTTTTGTGAAAACACTTGACTAACATTTCTCTGTCCACACGGCAGTCATCCACACCTTGTTCCATTGGAGCAGGCCAAACTTAAGCAGTGTGTGGTTGGACCAAATCATGCTGGATTTCTCCTTGAGGTAACCTTTATTATGCAGCACTGTTACTTTATATCATGCATTATTTCAGGCTTTTTCATAAACCTGAAGTGTTTTGTTTTTTCATGTGGATCATTGTATTTTAAAGCAATAATTTACTCTAAATATGAATTAGAGATGTAACGTATGACAATTTCTTAACACGTTTATAGTGACCTAAATTGATAATTTAGGTCACTATAAACGTGTTATGAAATTGTCATACGTTACATCTCTAATTCATATTTATCGGTTATCAGTATTATCACGGTATTGTTAAAATGTGCTGGATATGTAAAAAAAGTACTGAAACATAAATCATTACACCAAGTTTTTTTATTTAAAGTCCCCCTGTCGTGAAAATCAAGTTTGTTATTTGTCTATGTGGTGTTTTTAATTTGCTTTTAGACAAACCATGTGCCGATCCATTAATCAACACCATTGCTGAGTATTTTCTCCTTAAAACTGTAGTTTGCCAATGGCAGTCCCAGAAACGCGGTTTGAAACAGCCCACGGTTTGCTACGTCACAAAATTCAATAACCAATCACGTCAAGGGATAGATTCCTGTCATTAGCATATCCCACTCTCCATTTATGCAAGGTTTGCATGCAAAATATACCAATAACCACAGGGATTAAAGTTTTCCGTCACTACGACAGATTTCCATCAGTTGATAAAGACAGTCACTTGCTTCATTCCTGAATGAATCAGCCATTCGAACGAATCAATTGAATGAATGACTCCATGATAAAATCAGTGACTTGCCGCCACCTGCTGGTGGATTTAGTTTAATATTTACCGTATAATTTCAGTTATTTAAATCATTTAATATTTCTGTATTCAAAATTTTATATTTAAAACATTAATCTCCCCATGAATTTATTTGCACTCATGCCACCGCTGAGCCACATTAAACATCTGAAAATGTACCTACAAGCCACCTTTGTGTTCTTCTGTGCCACCTCTGTAGTACAAATGAATTTATTAGTACTAATTTCATATGATTGGTTACTTATTTGTCTTATTAAAGAAATATTAAATGATTTAAATAACTGAAATTATACGCTAAAAATGTAACTAAATCCACCAGCAGGTGGCGGCAAGTCACTGATTTTATCATGGAGTCATTCATTCAATTGATTCGTTCAAATGGCTGAATCATTCAGGAATGAAGCAAGTGATTATCTTTATCAACTGACAGAAATCTGTCGTAGCGACGGAAAACTTGAATCCCTGTTACAAGCACAAAACCAAAAATAAAATAGAGGATGAATGCTTATGAAGCTGTGGTTTAACTTGAATTTAGAAACGTTAACTTAAAAAATAACCCGCGGCAACAGTGGAAAAATAGCCCGGAGTCAGACCCACCTCTCCCACATTGGCATCCGCACTTCACATGCATTGCTCGCGGGCGCGAATTAAGAATCACAAACTTGGCTGCATTCAAGTCTTCAAGGCATTTTGAAGACACAACATCGTCAAGTAAGTAACTTTAATGACTGTTACAGTGTCCACTGTAGTTGTCCGCTAGTAAAAACATAGTTCTATCAGTCATTATCTCTGGATCATGTAATTTTGGTCATGGATATGTAATTTTGATGAGGTTTAAGGGATAACATTTTTGACTACAGGAGGACTTTAAAGTTAACAAACAATAAATACAATTACTTTTAGTTTGCATAAACACTAAAACAATAACATTACCAATGATGGTCCGATTTTAAATGACAACATGACTGACAACAGTTTACAGGGCTCCAGACAAAAAAAATCAAGTAAGGAGCCATTGGCTCCTATCAGAAGAAAACATAGGCGCCAAATTATTATTTTTAATGTATTTTTTAAACCTCACATTTACCCAAACAGCCTTTAAATAAAAAAAGGGTTAAGTCAAAATGCTAATTGATTAATAAATGATTATATGTATTTTATCTGCTCCATAAATTATTTTATCTAACTTATCCGAATTGTTTAAATGTGTAGAATCCACATAAGCTTGTTTTTCAACAACCGGTCAAAATTTACAGCAGGGTATGCAAATTCGGACTGTTATTTTTGGCCAGGCAAAAACTCCACACAGGCTGAATGTCAATGTAACTCTGTAAATCCGCTCTCTGACACTGGGTGGCGCTTTTGAAGCGGCAGAATTAGAGCTGTTTCCTGTGAACAAAGCAGCATTGCTATTAAGAACACTACTTATTAGGTATTACATGGAGCGAAGATGAAAGCAAAACACCATTGAATCTTTTCTGAAGTCAGTCAAAGCCTTCAGAGGTACGTTCATATAATTAATTCATTTGTATAATTCCCTTAGCACACTCTTAAACCCTCCCAGCTTCCCGCCATGTTTTCACACGAAACGAAACTACTCTGCTGCTTTGCGCACATGAGACTGTTATTAAAACTGCTTTATGCTGGACCGTATTTATCCTCAGTTGTTCAAATCACGGTGATCGAATACGGTTTTAATGATATTAAAATATGGCATTTGCTGGTACTCATGTTGTTCCAAACCAGTTTGCTGGTTTTTGCTTTTATCCGTTACATTTACATTTATGCGTTTGGCAGACCTTTTTATCTGAAGTGATTTACATTGAATTCAAAGCAATTTCCATAAAAACTGAATTTCACAGATACTGTTTCTTAAGCTTCAAAAGGACCTTTTTAAAAGAGCAATGCACAATTTCTTCAAATTCTGCTTTTGTGTTGCATTGAAAACAAAAAGAATATGGGATTGGAACAACAGGAGGATGAATATATAATTAATTTTTGTCTAATGAAAACAAAGCAATGCAGAAAATTACACTCTTTTGTTTCAGGATGGACGTATCTGCAGGATAAACTTTGCCGTCCAGCCCGACCGACTGGAGCTCGGCAAGCCCGATGGCAATGATGGGTGAGAAATTATTACCCCTGTTAGATGCATGGAAAATGCATATATGAGCTGGCATGCAAAATAACTCTAGATCTGTCCCTTCTGGTTATAATTGCTCTGGGTTTATGTATTAAGTTTGTCTTAATTCTGTTTCAAGTGTGCTGAATTTTTACCGGCATTACCCATCTTATATGATTAAAGGTTGTGTTGTGGGCTTTGGCGTGAAGACATACTGATGATTTTTTAAATGTTAGTGTAGTGTAAATATGAGCACTATATATGATGAAGTAATTTTTTCTAAAGATGTAGCCTTACAGTTGCATGGAAAATATGTGCTTGCATTATATTCTTAGTGATGGAAGGAAGGGAATTTTATGAAGCGGTTCAAATGGAAGGAACTCTGTCAGTCTAAAGCCTGTAGATTAGGCATGGCCAGCTTTTGTCGTCTGGTTTTATCAGCAGTGTTTTTTTTATTACCGAAATGGGGAAAACCAAATACACATGCAAGCATGTTACAACACTACCTTATAAACACTTTAATATTTGGTGGTACAGAAAATTTTAATTTAAGACATATAAATATATTGTAACTCTTACAATTCAAAGCTTCCGAGTACGAAAAGACTATTTATTGAAAGTAAACTGCAAAAATGACTTGTTATGCTGATGTTGACCGCTTTGCTGTTCACTGCTTATTGCAGTGGTTTGTTTGTGCATTTTTGTTTGAACTGAGGAGGTGGGCTAGTGCTTCTTTTCGTGTTTTTTTTGGATCGAAGCCATGTCGCAGCATTGCAAATTCCCTTTTGTGAACCTCAAGCAATCCTTGGTGTTTGTATATGACCGAAATATTTAGCGGGCATGATGGCACATGATTTAGGGGAAATCTTTAGCAGTTCCCTGTCAGCTTTTCCTACAGCTCTTGCCTGAGGAATGAGCTGCAGTCAGTTCTGATTCCCAAGGGTGTTGCCATGTTAGTCGCCCCACGGTACAAGAGGCCGATTGGCTCGTAGGCCTGGGCTTTCCAGGGTCTGTGATGGTCCCACATGTGGGACTATAGGTTTGTAACTGATCTCCCATCTTTTGTTTCCAGTTCAAAGTTGAGCAGTGTCTCAGGGGCAGGAAGGAGCTCCAGGCCAGGCAGGACTAGTGATCCGCCCTGGTTCCTGTCTGGTTCTGACACACTGGGCAGACTGGCAGGCAACACCCTTGGGTAAGTTGTGGCAGGGCTATCAGAAATGCAGCCTTCCAGGCACATGTGCAGTGCTGCCTTTGGTTATAAGAAACTTTTTTAAAGATGATTTTGCTGTTTTGTTTGCATGCAATAAAATCCCCACCTGGAAATATTCACACTACAAACCCATTTCCAGAAACGTGTTTTATTTTGTGAGAAATGCTCAATTACTAGGAAGAAAGTAAATTCAAATTCAATGTTTTTCTAAAGTGAGCTTGTTAGAGCTGTGCTATATATAAAAAAATAAACTGGTATTTTTCAACTTTTTGACTAGATTCAATGATTATTATAAGTAGAAAATAATAATAATAGCAAAGTAGGTTGAAGTGTGTGTGTGTATATAGAGAAAAATCCGTATTTATGAAAAATATTTAAGCATTTTCATATGAACCAATGTACAAAAATATATAGTCATAAACAGCAATATTTGTGTATATTCTATAATTACAATAATTATATAATATTATATATTTTTATTAGCCATTGTAGCTTTAAATAATGAAAAATATTTAAAGTAAAATACAGTAAAGTACATTATCAATTTTTCGCTAAATGAACAGGGAAAAATATTTAATAATTTGCATTTAATGAATCACTATGAATATGCATAGTAACAAACAGAAATATTTATATTTTATATTATCATATAGAACAATACTATATATATTATAAAAAATGTATCATTATACAGTATTACCAAAACATTTAAATATATACACAGTAATAAACAATCAAATTTCTATTTTATAAGCTGTAATATATTACATAGTAAAACTGTATGATGATAAATACTAAAACAATTAAATATATGAATGCATAATTAGCGTTTGAGTGACCTTGAATTGTTAAATCAGTTTTAAACTGCTTAAATCACTGAATCAATATTAAAACATCCATCTTAATTCTCTCATGATCACAAGACAAAGAATATGAAACTAGTCCTTAGAAGTGGGCTGTTGGAGTTTAATATCAGATGCAGAGGGAATCTGGTTGGCCGTACACTGATCCTGATTGCACGCTGTGCCTGACAGGAGCCGCTGGAGTTCAGGAGTAAATGGTGGCAGCAGTGGAGGTGGAGCCAGCAGTGGTGGAGGCGCAGGAGGAGGCAGCGGGAGCGGAGGGGGCGCTGGAGGAGGCGCTGGAGGAGGAGGATCTTCAGGCCGGTCCTCCACAGCAGCCCGTGATTCACGCAGACAGACCCGCGTGATCCGCACTGGCAGAGATCGAGGCTCCGGCCTGTTGGGCAGTCAGCCACAGCCCGTAATTCCAGCCTCTGTCATCCCAGAGGAGCTCATCTCTCAGGTAACACTCGCTTCATGGGCCTCTTCCACATTCCTGATTTTGGCTGTTTAAGTTGGATGTGCTTGCCATAGCTCTGCTTAATAAGTTCCATGTAATGTTTGTGTATATTATTCAGCTTTTTACATAACAGAAACTTCATTCTCAATTGAGAATCTCATAGCATTTTTAGCTTTAGACATACAATTAAACTGAAATAATCAAATAAAAAATAAATAAAAAACTGAAATAATTTTTTGGTCATTTAGCAAAAAAATTGGTTATTTTAACCCTAAATTATTTTGATGATTATTGCCTGCGTTTGTTGTATTGAAAAATATTTAAAATTATTAACAAATATAAATCCATGCGAATCATTGTGTGTAAAGGTTGAAATATAAATACTACAATATTACATAATACAATATAATATATGTGTATAATATAATGTACAATATAGTAAAACAAATGTATAGATTTTTAAAACACATATAAGCATGCCAATCATTGTGTAAAGGTTTGAAATATGTGACCCTGGACCACAAAACCAGTCATAAGGATACATTTTTCGAAATTGAGATTTATACGTCATATGAAAGCTGTATGGTTTGTTAGGACAGGACAATATTTGGTCGAGATACAACTATTTGAAAATCTGGAATCTGAGGGTGCAAAAAAATCTAAACATTGAGAAAATCATCTTTAAAGTTGTCCAAATGAAGTTCTTAGCAATGCATATTACTAATCAAAAATTAAGTTTTGATATAATTACAGTAGGAAATTTACTAAATATCTTCATGGAACATGATCTTTGTATAATATCCTAATGATTTTTGGCATAAAAGAAAAATCAATAATTTTGACCCATACAATGTATTGTTGGCTATTGCTACAAATATCCCCCAGCGACTTAACACTGCTTTTGTGCTCCAGGCTCACATATAAATGCTACAGTATATAATATAATAAAATATATTAACAAATACAAATATATGCTAAACATCATGTGTGTGTAAAGGTTTGAAGTATAAATACTACAAAACAATTCATATTGCTTTTCACATTAATAAAATTTTAGAAACATGACAGTTTACATTAGAAAGCAAAATATTGTATTTATACTACAAATCTTGTTTCAAAATGTTTTGCATGCATTTATAATTTTATTAATAGCTAAGGATTGTTTTCAATAAAATGCAGGTAATAAAATTGGGCTGTATGCAGTTAACAAAAAGATTACAAATCTAGTATTCATTTGGTATATTCTATAATTTTTTTTATTATTTAATTCATTTTGGGGTGACATGTGACCCAGACCTGCTTAGTAATGTCGTAACTGATTGGCTTTGCTTCCCCAAATAGGCCCAGGTGGTTCTTCAGGGAAAGTCCAGGAGTGTCATCATTCGAGAGCTGCAGCGCACAAACCTTGACGTGAACTTGGCTGTAAACAACCTGCTGAGCAGAGACGATGAGGACGGCGATGACGGAGACGACACGGCCAGCGAGTCCTATTTACCTGGAGGTAAACAGAAGATGGGGCACGGTAATGACGCTCAAGTCATTTTAACAAACATTTCTGACAATACCTTTCATACTTCCACAGAAGACTTGATGTCACTGCTAGACGCGGACATTCACTCTGCGCACCCCAGCGTGATCATTGACGCGGACGCCATGTTCTCTGAGGACATCAGCTACTTCGGCTACCCCTCTTTCCGACGCTCTTCCTTGTCTCGTCTCGGCTCTTCACGAGGTAAAGCCTAAAACACACAGTCATGCTTGCATACACTGAGTGTCATGAAGCCATTCAGCAAGATTTGTGGAAATGCTTGTGCCACAACCACTGCGTTCATCGTTAATGCTGTATTTTTAATAAATAAAGTCACAACTCGCAACACATTCATGCAGATATGAAAGATGCTGTTGATTTGAAACTGAAGTCAAACAAAAGATTAATCATAACAAATGAATCCCTGCGAATACAGATGCCCATTATGCAACACTTTAAAACAAAACAGTAACGCTAATTTTAAAATGAGTTCAAATTCTGATTGGAACCAGCTGAGTTCTATAATAATGCATCAGGTTACAATGTTGCTATGCAACTGTTAGTTACTGAACTTAACAACAAGTTTGGGTCAGGTCATGCGTTGTATTTTTGAATCGCATGCAAATAATGCAGTCCAGAATTATACTTTCATTTCATTTCAAATTACATGTTCATAAACCAGCATCTGTGAACCGAGTGCTTTATGATTAGCCTCTGGATATCAAATCCTTTAAGATGCCTTGCTGCATGTTTGTGTTGTGTGTGAGTGTCTGTGCGTTTGAGAGCGTGTCCAGTTGTCCTGCATGGTCTAGTGAGCCCTCTGCGAAAGGCCCTGCAGTGCAGACAGTTACCCATAAGACCCTGCAGTTTATACCCATACAGCTCAACTAATGCTGGACACCCCCGTCAACAAGATGTTTTCGCTGCTAATGCGACCCACCAACTGACAAAGCCATCCTGTACAGCGTCCCTATGTAGCCCTATTTTACTTATAATAGATTATGGATCATTACCTAAAATGGTCATGGATCCTTTTCACCTGCAGTGTCGTATTTACAACATAATGGTCAGTTGTTTTTGGTGGTTGGTGTCACAGAAGTACAGTAGAATTTTTAGTCTTATTAATTGTAATTTGTATGAAATCTCACTATTTCGAGGGTCTTTCCCAGAGAGTGGCTTACTGTTATCCCACTGGTGTGACCCTATTGCATACCAGTTCTCCTTCTCCCCCTAGAGCGAGACTCTGAATTGCTCCGCGAGCGGGAGTCGGTCCTGAGGCTGCGCGAGAGGAGGTGGCTGGATGGAGCCTCCTTCGATGCGGAGCGTGGCTCCACCAGCCGTGAGGGAGAGCCCAGCCTTGACAAGAAGAGCGTGCCGCTGCAGAGCCCTGTCACTCTGGGTGAAGAGCTCCAGTGGTGGCCTGATAAGGTGGGCCTTTAAGCCTTCAATATCCTAGAATAAGAAACTTCAGATTAGGGATGCACCGACCGAAATGAAAATTCTTGGCAGAAGCCAAACAAAATGAAACACTGGGCCGAATACCGAACATGTTTTTTCGCATTTTTTTTTGTCCCATGTATTTTGCCAACTCTTTTCACCATTATATAATTGAAATACCCATATTTTGCTTTTTACTGTTTTGTCAGAAAATATTTCAGATCCCACAGATACAAATCTATTACCGATTTGAACACTGTGTGAATGTTATAATGTATTAATATAGCTGTTGTAATTATTATTATTGTCTTTTTTATTTTACAGAACAACAGTAAAATTACAATACTAACGTTAATGAATGTTGATGGAGCTTTTTTGGCAGAAACCCCCAGGAAGACCTCAGTGCTTCTTTTTGTTGACAGCAGCAGATTTATAAATGATTCTCATTATGAATTTGGGAAGATGTTTGTTGCACGTATCACATCGTCACATCCATGCCTTGTAAAAATTTATAAAAATGTTACCGAGCAGCTGACGAGTAACGCCGTTTCAGCGCAGATTTTCCTCGCGCTTTGGACTTTGAACCCTGGCGCCGCGAGCTCATGCAGCGCTGTTTGAATACATGCAATCCATGCGTGCATTAGAAAACCTAACGTTCTGCAGTTTACTTCCTAATTGTTTAAGGCCATTTCACAATTTCAATCATCATACAGTAACCAACAACAACCACCCCTTTCTTCTTCTCATCGGAGACATGATGGTGCAGATGCAGAAATAAATAGTCTCTCGCTGTCGTTGCTTGTATGGATTTTTGCGTCTTTCTCAGGCAGTTTTAAATGCTTCCACACCTCCGACATGTTTGCTGCATTAGCACGCCTCTCTATTTGATCATGTCACGTCATTGTTTGGTACAATTTATTCGGTGTTTTCGCTTATTCGGCCGAACACCAAATTTTTTTCAGCCGAATAATTGCTCTTGCTGGACATTCGGTGCATCCCTATTTCAGATTTCCATGGTGCATTTTAAGTCTTGTCACAGTTTATCCAAAAATGTAAACGCGGTCATCATTTAGTTTCGGACCTGTATTTTTTTTTTTATTTATTTATTCTGGGTATATAAAAGAAGATATTTTGAAGAATGTTGGTAACAAAACATTTGGTTTCGGTTGCCATTGGCTTGCATTATATTGACAAGTCCTTGCAAACGGAAACTGTTTGGTTACAAACATTCTTCAAAATATCTTCTGTTGAGTTCTGCACAAGAAAGCAATGCATACAGGTTTGGAGCAACATTTTTGGGTGAACGGTCTATTTATGGGTCAATGATAATTAACGTGTGTTCAATTTCTGCGTGCTGTTTCTTTTTTTGTTGAGTTCATGGCTGAAATTTGAGGTAAAAGTAGTTTAGTATAATGTTTTATTTCTTTAAAAGTAATAGTAGAGCAGTTCTTCTTTTAAATATTATTTGTAAAACTGGTCAACCTGTTTGAGTCAGTCAGTGGGGTGTTTGCAACAAATTTTGTTGTAATGTCATGACTGTAAAACCTATTTTGATTCTCATAACTGGATGTCAAGAAAAAGGCTTTTTATGACATTGCAAGATTAGTTCAGTTTTAATGACATAAATCAATAGTTTCAGTTAAATTACATAACTTGTTTTTTGTGTATCAGATTATTTAAATTTTAAAATAATGATAAGGTTTAAAAAAAATTTTTTTTTTTATTTATATAAAATTGGTTTCAATTAATTGTGAAAATTTTGGATTTATTTTTTATTTGTTATAAAAGTATACAGTTTTTACTTCCGTTTGAATTATTCTTGCACTCCAAGTTAAACGAAAATGAGAAATATATATTGGCACCTAGCTGAAATAAACAACATAGAATTAAAACTTGGTTACTTTAAGTTTTTATTTCAAGTAATAAAATGCATTTTTTGTTTTAGTTTTCTTTATTTTCAGTTAACAAAAATAACCCTGATTTTTTTTTGAGTCATTCAACCAACTTTTAAGTCTCATAAACAAGTTTCAGAAACTAATATCATATTATATTTTCTAAAAACTTGGCATGAGTCTTTTAAACTGTATTTATTAGTACTCCTTTTAATCTTGCACATCCTTATTTTATCTTTTGATTTAATGGCCAGCCTGTTTGGATTACACTTTAGGTTGTTATTTTATTTGTATAGTTACTATATATCCTTGGTTGTGTGATTCTTTAGGACTATGTAACAAAGTTTGTCAGCATTGGGGCTTTGTACTCTGAGATGGTTGCCGTCAGTACCAAAGGTGAACTGTACCAGTGGAAGTGGAATGAGCCTGAACCTTACAGAAACGCACAAGTAAGATTTGCAATGCACATCGAACAAGGAATTCCTGTCACTTTGATTTGATTTGATTAAATTAAATCTTATAAATCTTTGCGCTTTCGTAGAATCCTTCTATACATCACCCTCGTGTCCCTTTCCTGGGCTTGACCAATGAAAAGATCACCCACCTGTCTGCCAACAGTATCCGAGCCACTGTGGCCACCGAAAGTAACAAGGTAGAAGACCTTTATTTATTTACATGGGAGTGGGTGAGAACAAAATCATAGGACAGGAGTGGGCGGATACAAAAAGATCAGTGCTGCACACTCCAGTACTAAAAAATGTCCTCGGATCTCAAATTTCCAATAACTTGCATTGTGTAGGTGGCGACATGGGTGGATGAAACTCTGAGTACTGTTGCTGCTAAACTGGAACATGGCGCACAAATGTTCCCGGAGCTGCAGGGAGAGCGTATCATCTCTCTGCACTGCTGTGCCCTGTACACCTGCACCCAGCTGGAGAGCAGCCTTTACTGGTGGTGAGCAGGCAGGATCATGTCTGATAGTTTGAGCCGTTGTGCTTGTGATCTGTGAATAAATTCAGAGTTTCTTTTTCCTTTAGGGGTGTTGTGCCTTTTAGTCAGCGGAAAAAGATGCTTGAAAAGGCCAGAGCCAAGAACAAGAAGCCAAAGTCCAGTGCAGGCATCTCTTCTATACCCAACATCACAGTAGGAACTCAGGTGAGGAACGGGCTATTGTTGTTTGCAAACTCGTTTTTCTTTTTTTGTGATGATTAGGGCTGGGTGATCTTAAAGGGGTCATATGATGCTTTTTTTAAAGATCATTATTTTGTGTATTTGGTGTAACAGAATATGTTGACATGCTTTAATGTTCAAAAACCACTATTTTTCAAGTACTGTACATTATTGTAGGTCCTCTATGCCCCGCCTCTCTCAAACGCTTCGTTTTCTACAAAGTCCCTCCTTCCGACAAGCACAGTCTGCTCTGATTGGCCAGCTGACCCAGTGCATTGTGATTGGCCGAACACCGCAAGCACTCGTCGGAAATATAACGCCCCTTACCATAATCGCGAGCTTCATCTTTCAAAATAAATGTAAAGACAGTAAATAATGTCATTAGTTTTACCATCAGTTCAAGCCCGAAAGGGGAACAGACACATTATTGATGCAGTACACAAGCTGCGGTTAAGACAGCTGACTCTACTGTGATGTGACGCTGTCTCTCTCTCTCTCTCCAAAAGATACTTGGCTGCAGTGTTTTGCCATTGCTAACTGATTACCTGCTGTGCTACAGAGCGTAGGCGCTCAACGCCGGCTCCAAAGGAGGAGGAGAAAGTCAATGAAGAGCAGTGGCCTCTACGAGAGGTCGTTTTCGTGGAGGACGTTAAAAACGTCCCCGTGGGAAAGGTGGGTGCTGGCGTACACGTCGATCCAGTGGAGACTGAAACTACAAGCCTATTTTCTCCACTGTTTTTTGATTTATTGTCTGCATTTTTGCAACCTTTTAATCTAATAAGAATTACCAATGATGATCGATAAGCTTACTGTTTTTCTTGACGTGTGACATTCCTGTCTGTGTTTTGTCTCTGGTCTGTGTGTGATGCTTTGCTATGACACCTCATTTGCAACAGTTCTCTCTTTTGAACTCAAGGTGCTAAAAGTCGATGGTGCATATGTTGCTGTGAAATTTCCAGGGACGTCGAGCAGCGTGAGCAGCCAGAGCGCAGCTCCCACTGACTCTGACCCCTCCTCACTGCTGCAAGACTGTCGACTGCTCAGAATAGATGAGCTACAGGTAAATGCACATGCGGCTGTAAAAGCACACACATGGGCAGAAACCTTTCCATTTGCCGAAACATTGATTGATAATTAAAAATGGCATTTTGATGAAGAAAGTTTTATTTTAAACAGTCACTACTTAAAGGATAAGCCCACTTCCAGAATAAAAATTTCCTGACAATTTACTCAGCCCCATGTCATCCAAGATGGTTAATGTCTGTCTGTCTTCAGTCGCAAAGAAATTAAGTTTTTTTGAGGATTTTTCTCCATATAGTTGACTTCAATGGTGGCCAACGATTTGAACGTCCAAAATGCAGTTTCAGTGCAGCTTCAAAAAAAGCTGTACACGATCCCAGCCGAGGAATAAGGGTCTTATCTAGCGAAACGATCAGTCATTTTCTGGAAAAATTTTTTTTATAAACTGAACTACAAATGCTTATACCACAAATAGCAGAGCTAATGCTAGCCGATCATTTGTGGTTAAAAAGTGTATAAATATATATATTTTAAGAAAATTACCAATCGTTTCGCTAGATTAAGGCCCTTACTCCTCGGCTGGGATCGTGTACAGCCCTTTGAAGCTGCATTGAAACTGCATTTTAACCTTGAAATTGTTGGCCACCATTGAAGTCCACTATATGGAGAAAAATCCTGGAAAGTTTTCCTCAAAAAACTTAATTTCTTTGTGACTGAAGAAAGAAAGACATGAACATCTTGGATGACATGGGAGTGAGTAAATTATCAGGAAATTTTTATTCTGGAAGTGGACATAGCCATTTGAAATTGGTGGTAACCACTGCATGTTAATAATGAATTGATCAAAAAAAAGAAAGAAAAAATTATACACACTTTGTAGCATGTGCAATGTTTGATTTAAATTAGACTGTTAATTTCAAAATTTGAAGCAAATCGGAATGGTCTGACTTTAGCTTTGTGAAATAATGCTACATAAAACACCTGCATATTACCGAAACAGCAGACGGTCTGAATGAGACGCACATTCACTCTCTGACAGCAGGAGACGCTCATGGAACAGCAGCGTTTACTTGGTTATCGCTGTACACAAAGCAGAGCTGTGCATATTAGCACTACTTTAAATGCATTATACGCAGCCAAGATGAAAAGAAAATACCATGTAAACTTCTCTGAAAAGTCAGTTTCCCTCAGAAACACATCCATATAAAATTCAGTATTTAAGATTTTCTTCCTATATTTCACGCATCGTGAACAGTGATCTTGCTCTGCCTGCTAGAGTATTTTCTCCTCTTTGCGTCCGTCTTCAGCGTCGCGGGCCTCTGTTAACGGCTGTTTACAGACTAAATATAATAATAACGTAATATTTTCACACAAATTACATTTTGAAAAAAATTATGGTGATGCAGTTTGTGTGCAAGCACGGAACAGAGACCGTCTCTGAAATAAAACAAAAAAATGGCCGGTTGACCAGTGCGCCTGTGCTCCACTGTATATATTAAATATAGATGAATCATGAAAGCTACAAAGTTACTCGCCAGGACGGGTATTTTGACACATTTTTGTATGTATTTGTCCGTTCAAGTGCAAGAAAGACCTGGAAAGAAACTCAACTCGGGGCTCGGGCGTCTGTGTGTGCGCTCGCTGTACACACAGAATACAGCGCGCGAGTACTTAATGGCGTTGTCTTTAGCGCCTTGCTGGAATGCTTTTAAATTGCTTGATTTCTTTTGTTCTTTTAATTAGCAAGGCTTAAAAACAGATGTAAATGATAAAGTTTTTGTGACGACGCGGCAGTGGCCCGATCATGTCTTTCACGGTGGCCCCGGGCCATCGGGCAGTCCTTATTGTCGAGCCCTGCACTGGTCTGTAGAAAGCAATGAAATGATAATATAATCATTTGTTGAATGACAAAAATTTATGCATACAGTGTTAAGCATTTGTGTGTTAAAAAAAAAGTTATGTATGTATGTATGTATGTATGGTATGGTATGTATGTATGTATGTATGTCGGTATCAAATTTTCATGTTGCGATTAATTGCTAATGCTTTTATTGCGGTATACGATATTATCACGGTATTGAAATTTAGTTTTAAACAAGTGTTGTCATAATACAGTATAACAGGTTTAATAACTTTTTTCTTATAACAAAAATAACTGAACATTTAAATGCAATACAGAAAAATGTATAAAGTTAAAAGTTTTACACAGATTAAAGTGCAAAAGAACCCTTTACAATAAGACCATATTAGTTAACCTTAGTTAATGCATTAACATTCACAATGAGCAATAACTACATTTGCTACAGAAGTTATTAATCTTTGTTTAAAAATACAAGTCTTAGTTCATGTTAGCTCATTAAATAACACCGTTGCAACTTTCGATTTTAACAACGTGTTATTAAATATTGTTTAACGGAAAGTAGTGCAGCTGCTTTGTTTACAGGGTTTCCGGGCTAACGGCTGCGTTTAAATGAATTATTATTATTATTATTATTATTATTTCTGCAGTTTAGCGCCATCTGCTGTCAGAGAGTGAAAGTGCGCTTTCATCCAGAGCGTCTCTCACATTTGCTGCTGTGTGCTTCTCGTCCGGGCTTGTTTACATCAGTGTGCGCACTCACGCAGCATACAGCAATGTTGTGCATTTTGACCAGTTGATGGGAAAAGTATTCTTAAAATGCATTCAAAATTCGGAATAATTTGTAATATATAATTATTCACGGTATTTAGAGCTGTGAAATTTCCAGGGACGTCGAGCAGCGTGAGCAGCCAGAGCGCAGCTCCCACTGACTCTGACCCCTCCTCACTGCTGCAAGACTGTCGACTGCTCAGAATAGATGAGCTACAGGTAAATGCACATGCGGCTGTAAAAGCACACACATGGGCAGAAACCTTTCCATTTGCCGAAACATTGATTGATAATTAAAAATGGCATTTTGATGAAGAAAGTTTTATTTTAAACAGTCACTACTTAAAGGATAAGCCCACTTCCAGAATAAAAATTTCCTGACAATTTACTCAGCCCCATGTCATCCAAGATGGTTAATGTCTGTCTGTCTTCAGTCGCAAAGAAATTAAGTTTTTTTGAGGATTTTTCTCCATATAGTTGACTTCAATGGTGGCCAACGATTTGAACGTCCAAAATGCAGTTTCAGTGCAGCTTCAAAAAAAGCTGTACACGATCCCAGCCGAGGAATAAGGGTCTTATCTAGCGAAACGATCAGTCATTTTCTGGAAAAATTTTTTTTATAAACTGAACTACAAATGCTTATACCACAAATAGCAGAGCTAATGCTAGCCGATCATTTGTGGTTAAAAAGTGTATAAATATATATATTTTAAGAAAATTACCAATCGTTTCGCTAGATTAAGGCCCTTATTCCTCGGCTGGGATCGTGTACAGCCCTTTGAAGCTGCATTGAAACTGCATTTTAACCTTGAAATTGTTGGCTACCATTGAAGTCCACTATATGGAGAAAAATCCTGGAAAGTTTTCCTCAAAAAACTTAATTTCTTTGTGACTGAAGAAAGAAAGACATGAACATCTTGGATGACATGGGAGTGAGTAAATTATCAGGAAATTTTTATTCTGGAAGTGGACATAGCCATTTGAAATTGGTGGTAACCACTGCATGTTAATAATGAATTGATCAAAAAAAAGAAAGAAAAAATTATACACACTTTGTAGCATGTGCAATGTTTGATTTAAATTAGACTGTTAATTTCAAAATTTGAAGCAAATCGGAATGGTCTGACTTTAGCTTTGTGAAATAATGCTACATAAAACACCTGCATATTACCGAAACAGCAGACGGTCTGAATGAGACGCACATTCACTCTCTGACAGCAGGAGACGCTCATGGAACAGCAGCGTTTACTTGGTTATCGCTGTACACAAAGCAGAGCTGTGCATATTAGCACTACTTTAAATGCATTATACGCAGCCAAGATGAAAAGAAAATACCATGTAAACTTCTCTGAAAAGTCAGTTTCCCTCAGAAACACATCCATATAAAATTCAGTATTTAAGATTTTCTTCCTATATTTCACGCATCGTGAACAGTGATCTTGCTCTGCCTGCTAGAGTATTTTCTCCTCTTTGCGTCCGTCTTCAGCGTCGCGGGCCTCTGTTAACGGCTGTTTACAGACTAAATATAATAATAACGTAATATTTTCACACAAATTACATTTTGAAAAAAATTATGGTGATGCAGTTTGTGTGCAAGCACGGAACAGAGACCGTCTCTGAAATAAAACAAAAAAATGGCCGGTTGACCAGTGCGCCTGTGCTCCACTGTATATATTAAATATAGATGAATCATGAAAGCTACAAAGTTACTCGCCAGGACGGGTATTTTGACACATTTTTGTATGTATTTGTCCGTTCAAGTGCAAGAAAGACCTGGAAAGAAACTCAACTCGGGGCTCGGGCGTCTGTGTGTGCGCTCGCTGTACACACAGAATACAGCGCGCGAGTACTTAATGGCGTTGTCTTTAGTGCCTTGCTGGAATGCTTTTAAATTGCTTGATTTCTTTTGTTCTTTTAATTAGCAAGGCTTAAAAACAGATGTAAATGATAAAGTTTTTGTGACGACGTGGCAGTGGCCCGATCATGTCTTTCACGGTGGCCCCGGGCCATCGGGCAGTCCTTATTGTCGAGCCCTGCACTGGTCTGTAGAAAGCAATGAAATGATAATATAATCATTTGTTGAATGACTAAAATTTATGCATACAGTGTTAAGCATTTGTGTGTTAAAAAAAAGTTATGTATGGTATGTATGGTATGGTATGCATGTATGGTATGTATGTATGCATGTATGTCGGTATCAAATTTTCATGTTGCGATTAATTGCTAATGCTTTTATTGCGGTATACGATATTATCACGGTATTGAAATTTAGTTTTAAACAAGTGTTGTCATAATACAGTATAACAGGTTTAATAACTTTTTTCTTATAACAAAAATAACTGAACATTTAAATGCAATACAGAAAAATGTATAAAGTTAAAAGTTTTACACAGATTAAAGTGCAAAAGAACCCTTTACAATAAGACCATATTAGTTAACCTTAGTTAATGCATTAACATTCACAATGAGCAATAACTACATTTGCTACAGAAGTTATTAATCTTTGTTTAAAAATACAAGTCTTAGTTCATGTTAGCTCATTAAATAACACCGTTGCAACTTTCGATTTTAACAACGTGTTATTAAATATTGTTTAACGGAAAGTAGTGCAGCTGCTTTGTTTACAGGGTTTCCGGGCTAACGGCTGCGTTTAAATGAATTATTATTATTATTATTATTATTTCTGCAGTTTAGCGCCATCTGCTGTCAGAGAGTGAAAGTGCGCTTTCATCCAGAGCGTCTCTCACATTTGCTGCTGTGTGCTTCTCGTCCGGGCTTGTTTACATCAGTGTGCGCACTCACGCAGCATACAGCAATGTTGTGCATTTTGACCAGTTGATGGGAAAAGTATTCTTAAAATGCATTCAAAATTCGGAATAATTTGTAATATATAATTATTCACGGTATTTAGAAGTGCCCACGATAACAATATTGTGCATATTCATTACTGTGATATATCGCATTACCGAATATCGGCACAAGTCTAATACATATATATATATATATATACACACACATATATATATA